GCTGAATATGCAGCCAGGATTGAAACCTACTGATTCATAAATAAAATTTATTTTAATAGCTGTTTTAGTCCTAGGAGACACTGTAAGTTATGTGGGAGCCAGATAGGAAGTGGAATTAGGCCAAGTTTGTTAGAATGACAGATTGACCAAGATTTTCTTCCGCTCTGGGTAAATGACATAATTTTGTTAAAGGTTAAAGTCTCTCCTCTCCTTTAAAAAATGGCTGTTCACTCTTTAGCACATTTTTGTGACAGTTGAATGTGAGCGCAGTTTTGTAAGCAAAGCACCTGCTATATGCACAGCATAGACACTCAATAATAACTGGTGGTTCCCAGTATCTGTGTTTATTAAAATTCCTATTGAGCATTTCAAAGCCTGTTTCTCTGGCATCCTTATTGACATAAGTGAAAAGATTCTAAGCAGAGGCACAAAGATGAGCACACATCCACCTTCTGCTCAATAGACCATCTAGTCGCAGTGCAAGCATGTGAAAATAAATCACAGTCAGCTTCAGTCTAAGTGAACCTCTCCTGGAATTCATCGAGTATGTGAATTTCAGTTTTAGCAAAAAATGCTTCTGAAGATGTTAATACTTTCTACAATAAATACAAATAAAAATTCCCAGGTAGTATTTTGCACTTAAGTCATCATCAGTTCTATTCTTTCACAATTACTGAGAAAGTAAGCACTTGGCTGTGTCTGCTTGGGTGCCAAGCAGCTCAGTCAATAATACAAGATCTGTTTAAAAGGTATCCAGCCATGTAATAGGAAAAATAGAGACATTTATTGAAGGAAATACAAGATATAAGAAACATTGTATATAGGACAATGACACCTCAGTCTTCTTCAAAATAGGCACCTTGGGACCTCATACAATTCTCCCAATTGCTATTGGCTACCCCATCAGATTTTCCTGAATCTCATTGATGGTCTGAAATCTCTTCCCTTTCAAAGGTGGTTTTAGTTTTTGGGAAAGCCAGAAGTCAAAGGGCATCAAATCTAGGCTGTAGGGGATATTAATCACCTGGGTGATTTGATGTTTTGCCAAAAATCTCTGCATGAGACATGATTCGTGAGTAGGCACGTTGATGTGAAGAAGCTGCCAATCACCAGTTGCCCATAGCCGCAGCCTTCTGAATCATCTGAATAGTTTCCGTGGAGGAATGTACAAGCTTAATGCAAAATTTGATGCAGATTCATTGCTCTACTCACTCAGTCATTTTGAATGCAATGATCACATGGTACGCATGCTCACTCAGCAGTGTCTACCTCCCCTACTGACTAGTACAGTGAAGTTGTCCTTCACACATGTGCATTCCAGTCCACTCTTCTTGGCCACCAGGTTACATCGATGTCACATAAATTGTTCTTGTTATATTAACAGTGGCTGAACTTTTTTCAGGACAAACCTCATTGGTATAATTGCCCAGAAGGTCTGAACCCGTGGTCCTGTCAGGCAGGGTTTGGTGAACCGTGCTGGCCTTGGACAGATGGGAGTGAGAAGATTGGTCAGACTGCTGTTCCCTCTCCTCGTCTAGGCCCTTGGCTGTGAATTCAGTGGTGTATTGAAGAACCAGCAATAGAAACCAGCTTTGCCTGAGGCCCTGACTACACACCCCTATTTGTTTATGTTGGAAACATGTGCCCTGCCCATGCTGTTCCTTTACGTATTTGGAGAAATATTTTTGGAGGAGTTGGGACAGGGTCTGGCTCAAAGCATGTGCTTTAAACTCTAAACACATTGCTTTTTGTAGGAAGCATATGGTAAATATTGGTGTTTACTCTTCTCGCTGGGTTCACACCTGGTCCTACCACTTCCTATTGTGTGTCTTGGGTCCAGCCACTTACTCCTTCAAAAATCTAAGTGTCCTCAGCTGCAAAGTGAGAGAATAGAATATATAACATTATCATGTTCTTCTGATAATTAAAGGAGAAGCATATGTAGATAACATTTATTGAAAATGTACTCTATGCCCTTATCTAAGTATTTCTCTAAGTATTTCACATATGCTAAGTATTAACATTAACGTACTGTCACCTACAAAGTAGATCTTTTAATTACCTTTTCATATATGAGGAAACCGAGGCAGGAATGGTAAAGGAATTTTTCCAAGGTCATAGAACCAGAAAGTAGGGGTGCTGAGATCGGAGTCTGTCTTCAGGCCTGTGCCCTAAGCACTACTATATACTGTGCTTTTTTTGTAGATGATATGTGTTAAGTATAGTGGTATATGATGGGTTGGTTCTTCTTTCTGACTTCTCTTGAAATCTCTAATCTGAAAGAGGTTTTTCATACCAATCAGCACCATGGTACACATCATAGGTATTTACTAAATACTTCCTGATGGGTTAAGTGATAAGACCGAGTGCTAAGCATCTGTATAGTTTTGTTTAGCAATGGATATTTATTCTATTGTATTTATTGACACATCACCTGCAAAACAACCTCAGTGACTCTACCTGGCTAACTGAGCATTCAAGCTTCTACGGTGATCTGGCTCAGATGCCACTTCCAACCTTATTGTGTCCTTGCTATTTTACATAAACCTTGCTCATGAGTAAGCTCAGTTAAGGACAGGACTTATTTTATGTGTTTATCTTTATATGTCTAGTACTCAGCGGGAATCTAAATAACATTGGTTGAATGAATGAACGTGGCTCAGTCACCATGAACTGCCACTTTGTTCGTATGTGTGGTCTAAAAGAAGGCACTGCCGCTCCTGGGCTCGGAGGGGACTAGACACAGTCCCCTGTCCTGTTCTTGGCACCAACTAGCCTTTTCTCAGTGTGTTAAACTTCACTAACAGTTTCATCAGTTTCATCTTAGGTTTTACTAAAATGATCTGGCTAGGTTGCCACTAGTTGGACTTAGGTTTTAGTTGCTTTTCTCATAATGATGATGGATTTTTATTGATTTGTCCACATCAGCCTTTCACTATCCTCATTATTAGATTTTGCCACTTTGCATATGAATAAGAGAAAACCCCATTTAACTGACATGTTACTATAGGAGGGGGTTTAAAATATGATCACCTAATCTAACTTACATTGTATATGAAGGAAGGCCCATTTTAATGGTTAAAACTAGATTTTCCTGTCATTGAAGCATGTTTTTCTTCTAAAGTATGAAGGAGAAAGGAACTAAGATTTATTTAGCATCTATTGGGCTTAGTGCTGTGGTAAAAACTTTTATTTGTTCTTGTACTTGATCTTCAAAATAATCTTGAAAAGGAGTATAGCTTAATATAAACCAGGCTTTGATGACAGAAAGACTGGGTGCGAGTTCTGGCCCTCCAACCCGCCCACTGTGTAATCTTGGGGGGAGTCTCTCAATCTCTCTAAACTTCAGTTTTATTCTGTGCAAACAGACATGATATGATGGTATCCCATGTTTAGCATTTAGGAAGGGATTTCGTGGCTTCCTTCCCTAACACACAAGGAATATTCAAATGAGAACCAAAGTATTGTTTTAGTAATGGCTCGGCAAGCACCCCATAACCACCCAAATGTGGGCCTTATTTAGGGAGATCTGCTGGCCCAGAAAGCCAAGGCCTGGAAAGCTGGGTAAGGCTACATATACATTCCCACTTCCCTTGAATCTGAGACATTAGAGGACCTGAACCTGTCTTCCAATTGGTCACATGAACAAGTGGCTGGACTCAAAAGCCAAGCGTTGAGCTGGGTGTGTCCTTCCTTACCTTGGTCAGTTTACTGCCCAGGAGCATGTAGTTCAAGTGTGACCCCGGGAACAACCTCAGCAAGAGGAGGAGTGGCAGGAGGCATGCCAAGCATGGGCAGTGACTGGAAGGCATAGTCACCTGCACAGCAGAGAAGAGGGCAGAAGAGGCTATTCTTCATGGACTAGCTTCCACAGCACAAGGCAAATACTTGAGCTGAAGGTAGGTAAGGCCCTTCCCACCCCCACCCCAACAACAACAATAACAAAATCAATAAGAACAGAAAACAAATCTTGGAATTAAAAAAGACTATGTATGTAAAGTACATATACCATTCACACTGTGAAAGCTGTGATCACTACACCCTGTGAAGGGGAGACATTTCTTATAAGTATTGTCGTCAAGATGATTGTACAGGTGAGGAAAGGGGAGGCCTAGAGACATGAACTTGGTCTTGTACACAGACCAAATAGAACAACATCGCAAACAAGAACAAAAGCAACCTGAACTTTACCTTGTTTTGGATTCAGTGACCCGCAGAAGCATCTTTATTATGACTCTGTAAATGGGAGGAAACAACCAGGCTATTGGCTGGGACTTGAAAAGTTACCTGAAGTTTCCACAGCAGGTGAACTCAGGGTTGAGCTTGAAATATAGGGAACATGCTAACGACTATTTTCATCTAATTCCACTGGGCATTAACCATAAATACCATGTGGAAACCATCACTACCTCTTACATTTTCCATGTGATACAACTTTATGCCATGATCTCAAAATATATCGATAACTAAGACATGCAAACAAAAAATAGGAATAAGTAGCTACACTTGCAATTGGACAGCAAGGTTTTGTAGTAAAACATTGTGACGAGCAAGTCCTTATCTCTTTACATTGAATTTGAGGAAACACATCAGAGAAGTTCTACAAATTGTGATAAAAACAGTCAAATTTGACTTTAGTGAAGATCAAAATTTTGTGTTTAGTACACAGTATTTTACAATATTATAGTGTAAGAGTAGGTGAAAAATAAGAAAATTGCCCTCTTAACTTAAATTGAACCTATTAAATGAGCCTACAAAACACTGTTCCTACTATGTGACAAAACAAAATAAATAGTTTTACTTTTGTGAAGGGCTAAAAAAGAAAAGTTCTTTAAAAGAATATATAAAAGTGAGGGGACTAGAAGGATTCATGAGAAGTGAGGGTCCAGGAAGGGATATTTAAATGAATTGCCCCAAATGTTGCCCTTCTGTCCCTTAAAGGTCTCTGCTCCAACATCATTCGGAATATTGAATAAGAATTTGTTTCCCTCTTCCTTTAGGAAAACATCAACATTGATGAAGCTTCCAGGTGCCTGGTGAAGCATATCCTGGCCAATGAGTGTGACCTGCTGGAGTCCATCGAGCCGGACGTGGTGAAGCCCCATCTCACACCTCCCAGGGCTGTCAGCTGCTCCGGCTGTGCCAAATCCTACTAGGCTTCCTGGCTGGCCTAGGATGGAAATAATCCCATCATCTCATGTATTATCTCGTTTGTTACCGTGTTGGGTAAATGCGATAGGGACACACCCACGTGGCAAGCCAAAGATCTATGCCTGTATCTTTCCTACACGACAAGAATAGCAAATGTTCTTTTTATGTGTTATTTTGCCAGCGTCAGCACAGTGTTTACAACCTTTGAAAATATTTAGTCTGTTAAAAAAATTCCATCCTGTAGCTAACCACAAATCTGCAGGACTGGAGTGGGTCCTGTTACTTGCCTCTTTGAATCAGCCGAGGCCTCAGGTTTTAAGAGAGAAAGGAGAAGGGAGCAGACTGGCTGGCAAGCCCTGGCTTTTGCTTTGCCCCTGGGGTCTAACCAGATTGCAGCACCTTCTCCGCTTCTCCAACAGGGCTCTGAGCGGAAACGGTGTTTTCTCCAGAGATGACCTCCATTCCAAACACTCCTGAGTTACCCCTGACTTAGCTCTTCAGAGTCATGTACACAGGCCTTCTGTGCTTTTGTTGCTTCTGCTGTCACTTGCCACGCACTGAATGTTGGTCTAACCAAAAAACGTAGGAGAAGATCTGCCCCCTAGACATGCCTTTTTGCCAGCTCTGACTCATGCTGTGGGACTCTGTATGTGTAATATACATTGTATATATTTTCACAAGTGAAAAATAAAACATTAACAGATGCTGTTTCCTTGTTTCTGAAAGCGCTTCCAGTTTCTTAGTGTTGGGGACTTTTTCTTTCGCTGCATATCCATGGTTCTCAAGACTCATTTCTAAAATTCTCTTTCAAAAAAAAGATGGGAAATGTGCATTTAAGGGAACCGCTGGGCACTATTAAAACTGAGACAAGTCTATTCCATCTGTACCTACTGTTCATATTGACATTTAGGCCAAGAAAGTAGGTAGTGTATACAAATCTTTTTGGCTGAGCAGATAAATAGATCCTCATATATTCTGATCAAGAAAGGTGCCAGGCCAGTCAACCTACAAAAAACCAGATAAAATGTACATGGTGACATCTTGCTTTACATATGGCTGTGGTGCTGATGTAGTACAGATAGCTACTCCTTTTTAATGGCATTATTTTCCGGTGATGTTCGTAATATACTCATAGGAGCTCTGTCTTTTGTAACAGATGTTTTGATGTCTCCTGTCCATATTATTTTGGGATTCACTGTTTCCACAAGCACCAACCGCACAGATTCCTATTATAAGCCATGGTGAGCCTTTCCCTGAGGGCATTTTCTGATTTGTGGAGCACTTGACACTTAAGGCTGGCAGAGCAGAAGTGTCAGGGAGTTCATGTCTCTAGAAGCAGCCCTCAGCTGGTGGTAGCAAGAGTTGGGGGATGATTCCCCTGGGTCCTTTGCCCCCCAGGAAGGACAATTCTTCAGCAGGTGCTGTGCAATGTCTCAGAACTTCCCAGTGGTATTAAGTCCCTGGTTCCCACTGGGGGAACCTTTCATCCTACTCATCCTTTACTAGCTTCCTTCTATCCTAGCTTCCCCACTTTTCTACTAGTGCTTCCTGAGAGTTCACTTCCAAAATAAGCCACTTTCTCTCAAATTCTTGTTTCAGGGTCTTACGGAGGAACACAAGCCCAACCTAAGTTACAGGGACAGAGATGGCCTAGGAAGCAGCTCCTCAAACCAGCTTCTTGAAATGAATCATTCACCCCTCAGGTGGTAGCAAGGACGCCCTTCCTGGTGCATAATGAGGTGGGGCTAATCCCTAATCCCTGGGAAGATGTAGCACCGTAATTACTAAGACTCCTATCAGAGGTAGGATATAGGTTGAGGGAAATCCTATTGCTCTTGTGTTTGAAAGATACAGGATTATAGAGTTAGTTAATCTCCATAGAAATTTCTGTAGGAACATGAAAATTATAGACTTGGTCAGCCAACATTCAATTCAGGATTTAATGTGAAAGCTTGAAGACCTCCAGCCAACAATTAAGATATTTAATCCTCCTTTCATTTAGCTACAGGATAGACCATACTGAAAATCCAGCCTAAGATTTGATTTTAGGACAAGCAGAGTTATAAAGGAGGCCGAATGCATAAAGATAGCAAGTCTCCTCCACTAAAATCAGAAGCCTTATCAGGAAGGAGTCAGACACTGAAATGTAGGAAAAAGTATTCAGGTAGAGGCGCTTAAGAATCTTGAACCCAGAGATTCTTCTGAAACTCTGGCCCAGAAAAAGTGGTCCTTCTGCTTTCCAGTGGAAGAATAGCCAATTGACTTAAGAGCCCCACCTCAGGAGGATGTTTTATAAGTTTGTGCCTTAACTTCTTATCCCATCTTTGCTCACTGCTTCTGGACAAATAACTAGAGTCAATTCTCAGTATGATCTGAGCAGAAAGTGTGATCCATGTTGCATGATGAACTGGCTTGCTAATCAAATGAACTGTAGACCTTGGCTTGGAACTCCTAGTAGGACTCTGAGAATATTCTAAGAAATTGGTCTTGAGATTCGGGATCAGGGAGGACAGAACGTAAGACCAAATAATATTGAATAAACTGTCTATTCCTATGCAAGTGCTCTTTCATGAGTTAATTTTAAACATTCTGGCAAGTACACCTGGACATGATCCCAATGTGCTACTGGAATAGCTATTTAAATCTTGGAAACAATGTTGGCTTAAAATAAATGATGTCAAGATGCCAGAACTACTACAAAGTATTGGAGAAGAACTCCAAGGTCTCGGAGAGGTGGGCATGCTATAATGTATTTATTTTGTGATGCCAGAGAGACTACCAGCTAATTATGTTGCCCAGGAGAGCCCAAAACACACTCCCTTCACTGAAGCCGTAAGGAGTGTCTCAAAAAGCAGCACACAGTATCTGAGAAGTACAGTGGTGGCTGGTCTCTGTAGACCAGGTTTGAGATGGTGACTCTGTTGCTGTTTTTCATTTGGAGTGTCAGCCTACATAGTTAAGGCTTATGCTGTAGTACTGCTATTGAATGCTCTCAGGGTCTTTACTTTTGTGTCCTGGGTAGCTAGCTGCAAGAAGTTGAAGTAGGAGTGAAGCCGCCCACTATCACTTTTAATAATCCACGTAAAAAAGTGAGATTCCCCTTTATACAACTTCAGGCTGTACAGAGTTAGAGGTTTAGAGACTTCTAGCAGGGGACACAAAAGGGTTCTGTGAAAACTACAGCTTCAGCTGCTCCTGATTATTTTTTGGGTCCACCTGCCCACAGGCCAGGAGTGAGAGAAGGCAGTTACTCTGCAAGCAAGGGTGTTTGCCCTGCTTACCAAGAGGACATAAAGGCTCAATAATGGAGCCAGGAGAAGTCTGTCTGAAAATCATGGGACTCAGTGGGTTGCTCTTGATGCTTCCAGGCCTGGCAAGAACTAAAAGAGCAATTGCAGCAACCACATCTAGGAGGGTAAGTCATTGGATTAGGAGCACAGGTAACCTGAGACTCATACTGTCAAGGTTAGGAGACTATGTTATTGCACCTTGCGATGAACCTGGACTAGAAGCAGGTTGGTCCAAGGAATGGAAATGATGCACAAGTATGGAAATGATGACTCTCAATTAGATGGCCTCGAGATTAAGAACAACAGGGGAGACTACAGCTTGTACCACCTAATTCCCTCTGGTAACTTTCCTTCTCTCTTTCCTCCCTTCTCTCAGTGGTTTCCTTAAAAATATCAGTAAATTCACAGAATAAACTAGTCCTAGGTGTGGACTAGACAATAGCAGAGGAAATGTCTGTATCTCCTCAGCATGTGGCTAAAAGCTTTCTCTGGATGCGTGGAGTGTATTTGTCTTGCATGATTGGTAGATCGGAGTGCTGTTCCATTAACACCTCTAAGAACAGTCTCATACAAAACTGACATAAATTGGTAGGTAAATTGTCCAGCTTCTTCACCTCTCAGGCAGGAGAAATCTGTGCCTTGCTCTATACACTCTTGGAGGTCCCCAGCGGGATTAAGGCAAAGTTTCACACATGGTGCCTGTTCATTAGCACAACTTTCCTAGTTTCCTTTCCTTCCCTGTCTCACTTGTCTACTCCTCTTACCAGTGCTTCCAAGGGTCACTTCCCAGTTAAGATATTTTCATTTTTGAGTGAACTTCAGCCGCTAGGAGTACTTCAAACATTGGTGCATCTGCACGATAACTTTCACTACAATGGAATCTCTCATCTATTTTTTTCTAAATACCCACTGAAATTTGGTTCTGAGATATGTATTATGAGAACTAAGTGTTTTCTAACCTTCATCCGCTACATAAAATTAGTTATACAGCCTTCAAAATGAATTAATTGGTTCATTGATCCCTTTACTGCTTCACCAGTTATTTGTTGAACAATTACTGTACTCCCAGCACTTGCTAGACACTGTTGTGGAGACACAAATGACTAAGTCATGGTCTCGGGTCTTATGATCAGAAAGTGGTCTTGGGTGGTATGCTCTGAAAGGAGACTCAAATATGTAAACAAATCACCAAGTGTCAAGAGAGAAGTCAAATGACCAAACCAAGAGATCTCTTCAGAAAACAGAATTTGTTCCCAGATGCAGGATCTGCAGCTCCAATCTTGTTTAAGGAAATAAAATATGTTGCTACCATTCTCTTCCTGTAACCCTAACACTGTGCTCTAGCCACGTTAGACTGTTTTGTTCAGCTACCTCTTCCTGCGATATTCTTTTTTTTTTTTTGCCTTGGAAATTCTATTTGTTCTTCAAGGATCAGCACAATGGCACAATCTTTGCAGGTTTTTCAAATTGCTTTTCACACAGCTCTTTAAAAAAATTAATTTAATTAAATTCATTCAGGTGACACTGGTTAATAAGATTATATAGGTTTCAAATTCACATTTTATTATACATGCTTTGTATATTTCATTGTGTATCCACCACCCAAAGTCAAAGAATCTATCGTCACCATATATTTGTCCCCTTTACCCTTTACTATCCCTCAGCCCCCTTTCTTCTGGTAACCTCCATACTGTTGCCTGAGGCTATGAGTTTTTGTTTATTTTTCTTGTTTGTTTATTTGTTACTATCAGTCGTATATCCCACATACGAATGAGATTATATAGGTCTTAGCTTTTTCTGACTGACTTATTTTGCTTAGCATAATATTCTCAAGGTCCACCCATGTTGTTGCAAATGGCAATACTCCAGCTTTTCTATGACTGCATAGTAGTCCATTGTGTGTTTGTGCCACATCTTCCTTATCCAACCATCTATTGAAGGATGCTTCCATTGTTTCCCTGTCTTGGCCACCATGAATGATGCTGCAGTGAACACAGGGAAAAAGTTGAAAACACTTATTTGCAGAGATATATGCAGATTTTGACTGACTCCATCATCACTCACATTCTGCATTCCAGTGATATATCAACTGTTATTTATATAACACGTACTATGTGAGAGTCACTGATACACAACTTTACCTTTACTATGTCATTTAATCCCCACAACCCTGCATGAAAGTACTCATCTCCTCATTTCTATATGAAAACAATTGAAGTGTGGAGATATTGAGCAACTTGCCAAAGCTTACACATGCAACTAGTAAAGGATTCGGGCCCAGCCAGACTAGTTCTAATCTCCAATGCTCCAAATGGTCTCCCCTTAGATGTGTGGAAGGGGCAACACTCTGAACACAGAGCACAGTGCTCAGCCCAGGAAATGACAGTAGAATTCACTGTACACTGCTAAGCATT